TCAACATCTAAGGTTACTCCAAGATTCACCTAAGTAGGACAAGAAGAGACCACTCATACACCCTCTTCAAGCTTACCTAAGCAACCCTTAAGGCTACCCTAGATAGAGGACATTCTAGTCAATATACATTAGCTAAAGTCATAATCATTCCATAAGTCAATTTAGAGACATTACATTCATTAAGGACTTCACATAATGGTCTTAGAAAGAGCTAGGGAACCTACACTCTAGCACCATCAAAGCTTACTCATGCCATGTCTAGATAGCATCCTATTCCACTACCTAAATGTTATAAAAATTATCAAATATTAGAATGTATCCCACATGATGCGTATAGGCAATAACAGACATAGAACATATTAGCTACTCTGATGGAGGGTGTTCTACTTGCAAAGGATAGAACTAGGACACATCTCATATAGGCCCATTGTTAAGGAATATCAAGGTCTTTTATGCACTCTAGTCTCTTTCTCAAATAGATACACATTGCACTCTAGTCTCCTTCTTAAGTAAAGATACAACCCATAACATATTCACTCGATGCTAGCCTTTGTTCTCATAAAGTAATGTTCATTCAAATAAGGGTATATGAAAAGGTACCATCTCTTAGTCATTACCTAATCAAAATGCACCTACCAAAGATGGGCCCACTAGGAATGCCACTCAATGGTCCATAAGGATAGCTCATTCATAACCTTCTTTCTATATAGAAGGTTCCACATATAAGTCATACTTACAAAGGTACCATTTCTTCATTCTATCGATTGTAGACTTTCATTCAACATTCATTCATACACATACAAGACAAAGGTGCATTTTGATTAGGGACATAGTCTACCAATCAAGACACATACATCATCTCCATATCACATATACAATAGTGTTCAAGTATTATGTAGGAATAACCAACTTAACCTATCAAGACACACTAGTAACACAACTAGAGACATCACCCTAGTCTATCAAGATCACATATAGCCAATTATGAGAGTTCAATCTCACTCACACACATATATCACATAGTCCTTCACATTGATCATAATCAAGTCTAAACATGACAATATCACTATTTATAAAGTAATGCCGACAGGGCCACATTATTTACAAATATAACACATAAGCACAGCCACCATAAATGGAGCATTCCAATCACAATCACAATTGAAGACCTATATTACATAATATAAAAAGAATTAGGGCAGCGTTTGACCAATTCAATCTCTCAACTTCGATCCATAACCAATTCAATCCATAACCAATTCAATCCAACTCAATACTCAAAGTGACTTACTAATGGCCATGATCACCAATTCAATATAATAATTACAATATACTATGAATCCAAAGTAAAACAATATGAATTTATCAATCTAATACATTCTATACATAATTCTATACATAATTTTAAGTAAAATATTTCGAAGCACCTTAAGTAATTATAGAATCATTTGATCTTTTGAAAATCTCGAATTAATTATCTCTTTTGGGGAAATCAAATTAGGAAAATCTAAGAATTGACTACAAATAAACAATTGTGCAAATAAAAAACAAATATAATAAACAAAAAGAGTGTGTGTTTTGGGCCCATGTCTGATTTATGTCCGTCTGGGCCAGCACTTGAGCTTGGCCCAGTTCCCTATCCTAGACTATTTTTGAAATTTTCCTTTCCTTGGGCCCAATCCGACCCATCATAAACTAACAAAATAAAGATCAACAAATGGGCTTAGACCCAATTAATACAAAAGGGCATAGGACAAAAATCACTTTTAAGGCAAAATTACCATTTGTTCCTTATAAGTTTATAATTATAGAAATCCCTCAAACAGATACAATAATATAAGTGTTGATACATTAATCGTTAAGTAAGATACATTATATTTTATATATGATACACTCATCTGATGTACATTTTATACATGATACACTAATTTGATGCGCGAGATACATTAATATGATGCGCTGATACATTAATATGATGCGCATAAATGAAGGATTTTAGGGATTTGTAAAACTAATAGGGGATAATGGTAATAAGAGAACTTATAGGTAGGATTTCTGTCATTTTCCAATACAAAATCAAAGCTAAAATTTTAGAGCTTTTGGGGCCCATTTCTCTACATTTATACAGCGAATACAGAGAAGGTATGTCACTATATATGGATGTATATCTCGTGTATACTGCTGTATATAAACCTTCTTGGACTCTTGAACACCTGTACATCAAATTTTGAGAACCTGCTCTTCGATTCTTCAACTCAGAAAAGGGGCTGACTCGATAAGAGGGGAAATTGAGACTTTATGGCTCTCCCAAAATGCAAAGGGAATGATTAGAGTTCATGGCAAATCGGATGAAGTTTTCATGAAAAGAGAAACGAGAGAGCAAAAAAAAAAGAAGCAATTAATGATCAAAACTTAACAGCTTTAACATTAAATAAAATGTAGGAATAATCTAACATATAAATATGTTGTTAAAGATGATCATTTTCAAATGAACCTAAATTAAAATTTCAAAGACACATGTAATGCTCATATACTAACAAACAACCACATATTAAAAACTGCAAAGATTTGCACTTCCCACATATGGAATTTCTTTCGAAACTCATTATAACAGAGAGCAAATTGGAGTTACTAAACTTAGTAGATGACAATACAACTACTAATAACTTAGACACCAAATCTCCTAAGATAATAACCAAACAGGGGGTTCATTGGCATAGCCTCATAACATCATTCAGAGATATGAAAGCACTAGAATGTTTTGATAACTTTTTAACACAAGGGAAAACATTTAAAGGAACTTAACACCAACAAAACAGAAAAGTTAAGATCTTAAAGGATATATATTAAGCTTAAGTATAAAACTAAAAACTCTAGGAAATGCATATTTTAACTTTCTTAAAGAGATCTCAAGGAGCAAAGTCGAAATAAGGTGCCCCACTAATGACTCTTTCAGTGGATGCAAAACACAAACAACAAAGATAAGATTTGAATAGCCAATAGTGAATCCTCAAATAATTAGTTAAACTATGGCAAGATGAGCTAAAATATATAGAGTTACAAAGGGAAAGGGATACAATCTAGTCAAAGTATTAAACAATCCAAACAAAGGAGCATGTTGAAAACAAAACAAGGAACAAGCAAATCGAATTCAACATATATTCAGCTATGCAGATTCAAAGCGAAGAACAATTAAAAACATACGACTCGGCCAAGGTCTTAATCATGGATTCGAGAGCATGATTTCAATATTAATCTAAGAATTTTGAGCAGACAACATAAATATAACATCAACAACTATAACAATTTAAATGAAACTCGAAAAGAAACATGAGAAACATAGCAAGACGCTAATGTGGAGAGATCAAAATGGCACTGAATGAGATACAAAACCCCAAACAGAGTACTAAAAGAAATATAGAGTCAAATGCTCACTATTTTTGAGTGACCAGTAGCTCCTAATACTCGCAGGAGAGTTTACCTCTTCTGGAGCAACAACACTGAGACACGAGTTGAGAATCTTTCCACCACCACGCGAAAGGAACTCCAATGGAATTTTCCGTCGAAAAGAACAGAGATCTTAGGATGAGAGCTCCAGATTCGAAGCTCTTAACTCAATTACTATAGAATTCAAAATTTTTCTTGAGGGCCTATATCTCTCTGTTTTGCTTCTACTCTAATGAGTGCCCCTTTTTTTCTAAAAAAAATAACAAATCAATTCCTATATGTAATATTAAAGAAACGGAATCTAAAAAGATGAAATTTACCCCCTCCCTGAATTATCTCCGGCTTTTCTATCTATTCTCAGACTGTTTTGTTTTTCAACTTTTTCCTAACCTTTTTCAAACTCAATAATGGGTATACTCTACTTTTCCCCAACCTCCAACAGATGAAGAAGAGGGGGAATTTATAAAGGGAACTAGGGAAGATTTTGGGGTAAATTATGAAGGTAAAGGAACAAATTTGAATTTCAAATTCTTCACCATTTAGGGAAGATACCCTTTTTTTGAAATTGACGAAAGACAAATCGATCTAATGTCCTTCTAGTGTTACGTGGCTTAATCTCGAGCCAAATGGATGGAAACGCATGTCTGGTTGCTGGAATCGTACTGCTGAAACAGTACTATGGGAGAGGGACGTAAAGAAGATGACAAAGGAAACACAACATACTGCTTTCGTCCACTTCCGTCTATCTCATCGCTGTTGTATTGGTGTCGTTTGCTTGCTGCTTGGATTTTCATTTTGCTGAGTATTATACCCAGTTTTGCCCTTTCACAATATAAATTAATCATCAAACTTCTTAAATTACAAATAATTTGAAATAATTGACTTTATAAAATTCCAAAATATTGTGTAAGTTATTTTAAATAGTTTTGTCACTTTTATAATTTTTAGATAATATATATGTTTTATTTAACTATGTTTATAATTTAGTATATTTTATGAATATTCAAAAATCGTCTTAAAGAAGATTTTAGTCTTTTACTTAAATAGTTGGTTAATTGGTTTAGTTAATTAATACTTATATTCTTGATTTATTAGTTTATAATTTATTAAGTTATTTTATTTCGTTAAAATTAAGAAGCTCGTTAGTTAATTATACTAATTCATCTCATTTAGTTTTAACCAATTTCACCAATTAAATTCAAATTTGCCAATATTTTAACTTAAACTGGCTAGAGTTTCAATCCATATGGCCAATTCCCAACTAAAATTTGTCTATATCTCTAATTCGACACCCATGTTACGTTATTACCAGCCAGCCCATTTTTTTTTGGATTAATTACCTGAATATACAACTTAAGTTTACATATTCTCCATATTTTTCCTTATTTTTTTTAAAAATATTAAAATCCCTATTTTTTAATAAGTCTAATTTAACAGATACATTATTAAATTAGAATCCTAATAAATCCTAACCAATTAAATCTTATCCCTAATTTTACTCTTTATTTTCCCCAAATAAAGAACCTATTTACACCACTCCCAAAATTAATGCGTCAATTTCTCAACGGTTCATCTTCTCAATTTTGAAAATCAAAATTTGTGCTCTCTATCCGTCAGCCTTCGTCTAATCTGTCCGCCATTTTTGTCTACTTTGTCAGCCTTTGAAAATCAAAATTGTGCTCTCCGTCCGTCCGTCTTCGTCTAATCTGTCCGCCATTTTTGTCTACTCTGTCCGCCTTAAAAAATCAAATCGCCAATTTCGTCTACTCTGTCCGCCATTTTCGTCCAATATTCTTGAAAGGTATTGTGTTCTTCTTCGATTCTCTCTTTTCATTATTCCATTTTTCTAATATTTCATGGATCATCTGTCATTTAGTATTGGGATTACTCAAATAATCACTTCAAACTCTAAACAAATCTATATTTTTGAAGATCCGAAATTGGTTGAAAACAAGTTTAAGAGCTTGCATAATTAGTTTGCATTGTGTTGTTACAATTATGTATCAAGCACAATTTATGTTTCATGTATCATGTTAAAGTTTGTCGTTTATATAAAGTATCAAGTAGACAAACTTATAACTATAGTTACACGTATGTATCAAGTACAACTTTGTATTTTTTGTATCATGTTAGTATCAAGTAGACAGACTTATAACTGTAGTTACACTTATGTATCAAGTACAACTTTGCATTTTTTGTATCATGTTAGGCTATAAAGTGTCTGTTAAGTATCATTTTGACTGACGTATGATATGTTGTTAGAATTATGTATCAAGTTTATTTTTGCATTTTATGTATCATATTAACAACTTTGCATTTTTTGTATCATGTTAGTATCAAGTAGACAGACTTATAATTGTAGTTACCTTTATGTATCAAGTACAACTTTGCATTTTTTGTATCATGTTAGGCTATAAAGTGTCTGTTAAGTATCATTTTGACTGACTTATGATATGTTGTTAGAACAGATTGGGCAGCATTGGATGCATATAAAGACAAGAAAACTGGAGAACTTTTGGGTCCACAATATTCGTTTAATGTGGAGTTTGCTCAAGACAACATGCAACAAATAAGTGATAGCCTGTGAGTATTGTTTATTATTTTATTTTATTTTTTGTATCTATTCATCCTTATAATTATTCTTATTGTTTTTGTAGTGATTGCGGACTATTCGTAGTTGTATATGCAGAATTCTGAGTGACAAAATCAACATGTCATGTAATAGTTTTAAGAGTAGCTATCTTCGCAAAAGATATGTGATTCTTTTATTGAAGTATGGTCTCGACAAGATGAATGCTGGATATGTTAGCAACAGTGATGACCCTTCAAGAATGAAGAATGTATTAAACCCATCATCTGAAGATGAAATTGTTAATGTAGGCTAGTTAGTTTTCAATGTTTGATTTTTTTTTGTTTTTTGGAGTTAAACAAGATGTTTGAAGTATTTATTAACATAACAACACATATTGTTAAATTATGAAAGTGTTTTGATTTTTAAAATTATTTATTCTATTACTTTAATTTTATTTTTATTACCGTTATGAATTTAGGAATTATGTATACTGTTATTGGGACATGAATGCCATTATTGTATCAAAACTATAATAATAATTACATTAATGTAATTATTGTCATAAAAAAAAACACTTATTATATATAAGTAAATATATTGCATGATACAAAAAAAGAAAATTATATACGTAATTATATTTTGTATATGATACATGAAATATCAAAATATATAATATCACAAACAGTGATACTAGTTATTACACTAGATACACGCCAGTTTTTTTTAAAAAAAATTAATATCTTTTGTACAAATAAGATATATTCAGTACTATGATTTATATATATTACGAACAATTATTTGTCCTTCAAAATATGAAATTTTTTTAAGTATCTACACACATGATACTATATTACTAAATTAAATTAAATTGGAACTGACAATAATTTGGGTGAAATATCCGCAATTAATATTGATTAAAGTAAGTTTGAACAAAGATTATAAAATAAAGTATTTGATATATAAATATAATATAAAATTTAAATAGTGTTTAACAAAAAAAAAAGAATTAGTCTGCCAAAAAAAAAGGGAAGATCACTAATGAAAAATTATAATTTAATTTAGAGTTTTATATTGGATAAAACTGATCTTGAAACACACAAGTTAATGCTTTTTTTTTATGGGATTAATAACTGTAGCATATTAAAAGTAGGAATTAATTCAAATTTCAGTTTTTAATCCCCCAAATCACTCAACAAACTCCCCCAAATCACTCAACAAACGGATAAAATAGCATAATATAGAATGTATCCGACTGTTTTATTATGTATCAGAAACTTCTTAAAAATAAGGAATTTTTTGTAAATTATAAAAAAGTAGGGATAGAAGGTAATTTATGTTTTACACTATGTGATTTACATAATTTTTACTAAATATTAGGCCTGTCGACCAAAATTTGAAATTAGGCCCAAGTACTGGCCTAGGCAAACAGATCCAGATGTGGGCTAAAACTTCTACTTCTTTTAGTCATTTTTTTTGCTTTATGTGTTTAATTAATTTAAGGTTTCAAAAATTCAAACTCCGCAAAGGATAGAGATTTTGAATTAATCGCTTAAAATACGATATTTTTCTTTCACTTAATCAAGCACGCTTTTCGTTAAACTAATTAGCCAAATTATTAATTATCGTATAATCGCGTATAAGCAGGCATTTCAGGTGCTTTAAAACTCTTCCCGAAATTCTAATATGAACCCCCAAACCCCCTTAAATACTTTCAATGGATTTCTTGTTTTAATCTTTTGGAAAATTAGTTTCTTAATTTTCCCTCAAAAATTAAGTGGCGACTCTAAACAAGTCTTTATTATATATTTTTAATAAAAACACTGAGCGTGAAGACGGCGTGAGTGAGCTGTTGTTCACGTTGTGTATGTTGTTGTTTGAAATTGAGCTTCTGGGTTCTTTTGATGATACAAGAAATGGGATGGATTGGGTAAAATTGTTGATGGGTTATTGTGATTAAAGTTGGATTGGAAATAAGAATATGGGCCCGCTGATGTGAAAAGGGCTGCTGGAAAATGCAAAATAAAGTCCTCGAAATTAGTCCTTTAAAGGGTTGGAAATAAAACGAGGAGAATGCTACGATTAACCTTATAACCAATTAATGTTAAAATATTAATCAACTTGAAATTGATTTGTGAATTCGGAAAAAAAACTCAACAATATGAAATTATATAAATTAACTAAGCGCTTCTTAATCTTAACAAAAAAAAAATAACTACTCTCTCTGTTTCAAAAAGATTGGCCTAGTTTGGCTTGGAACGGAGTTTAAGAAAAGAAAGAAGATTTTTTAATCTTGTGGTTTTAATTTAAACTTATGTCAAATGTACCAAAATACACTTTAATCTTGTGGTCTTAAACATGCCACATGAAAAGTTAAACTTAAAGTGTTGCCAAAAAAGGAAAGATGTCATTCTTTTTGAAACAAACTAAAAAGGAAATAAGATCATTCTTTTTTAAATGGAGGGAGTAACTTAGTTATGAACTTATCGATAAGAACTTATAACCCTAACTTTAAACTAAACTAATTTTAATATAATATTTAAAATAAAATATTTTTTAGATGATTTTTAAATATATATGAAATATACCAATTATATCAATAAAACTATATCAACCTATTTATTATTTATAAATTATGAAAATCGACAAAGATTACTTAAAATGACTTGAAAAGTATTTGTATTTTATAAAACTAATTATACTAAATCGTTTGGGAAATAAGAAGCTCGTGAATTAATTTCTATTGGAAAGGGTCAAAATAATTGGGTGTCAACGTCACCTAATAATTTGTTAAGGGGAAACTTAGTCCCCGATATATTTGTCTTTACTGGATATCCAAGAGGATTGATAATGTAGCTTATGAGTTGGAGCTACCGTCGAGGTTAGTAGCAGTTCATCTGATATTCAACATTTCAATGTATAGGAAGTGTATGGGAGATCGTTCACTTATTATACCTACTGAGAATATTGGTATTAAGGGCAACCTATCTTATAAGGAGACACCTGTTGAAATACTTGATCGCCAGGTTTCGCAAGTTGATAACCACAGGGGTAGCATTAGCCAAGGTCTTATGGAGGAATTAGTTTGTTGAGCAAGCTAGTTAGGAGGCTCAGAAGGATATGACCAAGAGATATCCACAATTATTTTCTTCCGGAGAAATTCCAGACCAAGGTAATGACTTTTTGTAAAACACTCTTAAAATTGATATGCTATATTGTGTTAAAAATGCATATTTGGTGTTTGAGTTGGGTGTTAGATGTCTCTACCCTCAGTTATATTCACAATAACTCAGTCGAGGATGAATTTTACCAAGGGGAGATATTGTAAAACCCTGATCTTAGAAAAAGATAATTTTAGAAAGAACTAAATTAAAAATAACCAATTTGAGAGTAGTGCAAGTTATTCTTAAATGGTGAGTTTTGGGTCAACTTCAAATGACCATAACTTTCAGCATAGGATAAGTTAGCTAGCCCATGAGATATCACATCGAAGGTTGTTTAGTCCTCTCGCCAATGCTAGTGAGCATGCTTAATTTTGAGTTTGGATGAAGAAGATATGCCTGATTGAATGCAACCTCTCTAAATAGAGCTTTTTATCTGTATCAAGGAGGGGTATTTTGATATTTTCGTTACCCAGTTAATCCCACACATTTTTACTCACCCAAACAAGGGTCTAAGCCTATTGAAATCAGTTTTAAACCTCTTAAAAAGTATCTAAGCAAGTTTGCTGCAAAGTTCAAGAGGAGAAGGAAGGAGAGTTCAAGAAGTTCTTCAAGGTTTTGGGGAAATTGTCAAGAACTTGGTTCTTTCCAGGTACATGAGGTTTATCTTAGTGACGGATTTGTTCATACTCAATCCAAACATCTGTTTCTTTCAGCAAATAATTCATAAAATCATTATGTATAGGTTGTTGAGGAATTCTTAAGGTTTTACTTTATTCTTTATCAACTGAATCATGTTGAATTCTTAAAGTGAGTGTTTTGTGAATGAATATTATATTTGGTGTAAATTTTGTTGAGTTTATAATTTTGAATGAGTTTGGGAATGAACCATTCGATTCAAAGCGGGTCAGGTGATACACTCAAACTTACTTCTCAAATAAGAAGTAAAGCGGTCGTATCAAGTAAAGAACCCAACTAATGAGGTTAAGATCGTTCCCACGAGGAAAATAGTTCAGACTTAACTTTAATCTATTATTACTACTATTTAGTCAATTATTTCCTTGAAAAACAAAGACAATTAAAGAGGGGTTTTATTTCTAAATGAATGAAAATAATTAGCTAAATCAAAGTAGACAACTAACAGATTCAAATGTTGGAGTTTAAGCAGTTAATAAAAGTAACTAGGGTTTACGTGTTCCCCACACGTTCCTAACTTGATAATTCTAACTATAACAATTCTTTACTAGTATCTTGCATGCAAAGTGATAAGTTATGTATTTCTAAATCCTTGGTCCGGCATCTAGAAAATTTCACTCCGCACCTTGGTCCAGCTCCGTGTGTTGCTATACTAACCCTTACCTTTACCCCATATTAAGCATTGTATTCGATATTTGACTAAGTTATTACCTCGTACCAATCAATACTAGCCTATTAGATAGTTTACACTCAATCTATGTTGATAATTCTTTTCCTATTATCTACCTTCTTGGTCTGGCAAGTAGAATTAAGGCGAGTTCTAACGTTGGCCATCCGTTAAAATGACTTCTAAGCGAAAGAATTATCAATACATGCAAGACACTATTCTAGAATTGTTATTTTAGTTAGATTTTACCTTATTATTCACCCATGGTTCCCACAACCCTAGTTATGGAGTTTAGTTGCACATAGTCATAATCACAATATTCATATATATAATATAAGAATTCATGCACTTACTTTAATGAGAAAGAATAAAATCCAGAGCTTTACTTGATTAATCAACAAAATCACCAACAATCAACTCCAGAGAATAGTGTAACAATCCAAAGTCTACTAATCAAAATAATCTCTTCACAAAGAATCTAACATAAAAGTGTCTAATAACCAAGAGTCTAACCCCAAAAATGAGGTTTTTTCGAATTGTTAATAAAAAACAAATATCTAATAAAAGAAGGACTCTAATTGCTGGAAATCTGTCTAAACGCGGCTGGGTCAACGAACCTCGCGACGGGTCATCGTGGTCACGATGGGTCGTCATGGACTCCGTCGTCCCATACTTTGCAAATTCTTTTGTTGCTCTCTTCATTACCCTCGACGGCAGGTATGACGGATCGTCTCAGGCACAACAGTCCGTCGAGGGTCTTTGGTCCGTAACACTTAAAGTCTTTGGAATTTAGGTACTGGGACTACTTCTCTAATCATCACGACGAACCAGTAGGACGGACTGTCATGGCTATGACAGTTCTTCACGCACTTCGTAACCCCACACTTGGTCAGACTTCCCTATCTTC